CACATTTTATGATGCTAATAAATCGAGGTTAATATAGTTTAAAAATAATGTAACCTACATTTCATTTAACAGCACATTTAACTGTTTTGAGCTCAAAAAGCTTCACCTCTTGTCTGAGAGTTGGAAATAAAAGCAAACGCAGTTTAATCTACTTTGAATCAGAACGCTATTGCAAAAGCATTACAGTAGGCTACGTGTAATTTGTGTCATCCGTGTTCTTATGCGTGTGAAATAACATAATGGAGTCCTGAACAGGCTTAAATAGTCCCAAGTTGTGTGTAACAAACACACGTGACTGTGATATTTAAGGGCAAGAAATAAGAGAACACTTGGACGGGATTAACACACAAAAGGACCAGTCTGAACTTTTAACTATATCCAGCATAACAACCAAATCATCTGACGTGGCCTTTGCGTTAACTTTAAACCAATTAAAATTAAAGACTCAGCCATTATCATATTATTAGACTATCTGCTCTGCAGGCGCAAAGGAAGACTACAAACCAAATTTTCATAACAAGCAACTGTGGGGAGTAATGACTCTTGCCCTACACCAAGAGCAAGGGATTTAATTAGCTGGCAGGGCTGTAATGGCCTTGGCATTTATAAACTGCTGCCCCCCCAAAAACTTGGCACTGTGCCTGCCTGACATTTCCTTTGGTGAAGAAAGAGTGGGTTGCAGTGGGAAAAGGACTTGCCACTTGAGGCTTTTTAGTTTTGGGCACCCACGTAGTAAAAGCAAAAGAAGGCACGGGTTCTTTAACCGTGTAGTCATTATTTAAACACAGAGACGATCGATTTATTAAACTGTTAAACAGAGAAAGCAGCTCTTTCAATTAATTTTTATGCAGCTTCATTCAGATTTTTTACACTAAACTGAAAATCCCGTGCTGCTTCAACCATCATTTCTTTGGAACTTTAGATGTAATCAAGATAATGGTTGTGCTACAGTTTGAGTCATCTTTACAAGTTAAATGATTACTGCGAGTGTTTTTCTTCTCTTTTCATGCAACCCACGGGACCTGTGAGCATGAGCTCGCTGCTGAACAGAGCTGTGCCTCCAGTGCTGCAGTGAGACCTTTGCAAAGCAGTACTTTCTGTAGGTTCAGGTATGAAAAGCAGCTGAGCCTAGCAACAAAGCTGCTTAGCTGGCAACAGTGAGGTGAACCAAAGCCTGGTGGCTGCTGTGAGTGAGATGCATGTCCAAACAAACCCTCTGAATCAGTCTTCTGATTCCCCAAACTAAAAAACCCAATCCAGTCCAACGAATTGATGCTCAAATATTGACTGTTCAGGTAGAGAACCTTGAAACTATAATAACGTGCTTAGCTGAGCACCAGAGAAAAGTACAGTAAAGCATAAAATGTGGACAATGGTGTCCACATACTTTTGAATAATTTGGGTTTGGCACTATTCATGTTTTTCCGAGTGAGGAGACTTTGTCTGAGAATTTTTCTACATACAGTTTGTTTCAAATCTTTTCTTTTTGTGTTTTCACCCTGCAGAAACTGGGTCTATAAATGTAAATGAGGAAGAGCTCAACTCTCCTGCACTGAACTGCTGACTCAGCTAAATACTTATCAATTCAATTCAGTTCAATTTTATTTATACAGCGCCAAATCACAACAACAGCTGCCTCAAGGCACTTTATATTGTAATTAGGGCTGGGTATCGTCACCGATTTCTAGAATCGATTCAATTCCGATTCACAAGGTCCCGGATCGATTCGATCCA